GGTGACTAGAGAGCAAGAAGGGCCCCTTCACATCTCAAGTCTCGTCAGCTCTCGCTCTCAGCTATCACTTTCACAAAGTTCCCAGTTCTGTGCGTAATTCAGAATTGGTCAAATTTCGCAATACCATCAATTCCCATTTGTTTTGTTACTGGGATTAAATCACCAGTCTGAGAAACTGGGAATGCAGCTACAAACCAGCTACAAGCACAGGAGGGCAGAGAGGAAGAACGGCGGCTCAGTGGCTCAGGATCTGCGCCTGTGGCTGGAAGGTTGCCGGTTTGTATCCCGCAGCCGGCAGACGAATCCTAGGCCCTTAACCCCAACTGCTCCAGGGGTGCTGTATAAATGGCTGACCCTGCGCTCTGACCGCAAGCGTCTCTCCCTGCCTACAGTATGTGTCTCATGGAGAGCAAGCTGGGGTATGCGAAAAGACAAATTCCTAATTCAAGAAATCGTATATGGCCAATAAAGGGATCTTAAGGCTGCCTCCCAGTGCCAGGTTCCTAGGCTCCATGCTGGCCTCAGACACCTGCCTGTGTTGACTTGCTCACACCACATTTCTAAGGGTTAACTCCTGCTGATATGGCTGATATCGCAGAGATATGCAGAGTGGATGTATCCCTTCCCCAGTCCTCAGGGGAAAGGGAGTGGGGCACCCCACTGAAAAACTCTGTCAGGAGTGGCTCTGGCATGTTTTGGCCCTTATGCCTAACACAAGCACAGGTGTGTATATTAAGTACATTAGTAGATGAGATTTCTTCAGCATGCGAGTCAAAGAAATGTGCTGCACCATACAGTACATTAAGTATTTCATTAAACAACCCGGGGGAGAATGGTAAGTGCTGTTTCTCAGCTTTAGAGCATTAAGAATGGTTACAAACGAGAGGTCCCTTCTGGCCTGTTGGTAATAAATTAGGATTTCATCCATCTGTTCCTTGAAAGGATTCAGGACACAGCTTGTTCCTTCTCCCATAACCTCTTGTGTAACGAATGACTCCTGTTACCGGTTTTACATGCTTTTCCAACCAGTGTCCTCTTGTATCCTCTGTCTGGTTCGTGTTTCAGCATTGTGAAGAAGCTGACTTCTCCTTTAACTGTCAGTGCCTTCGAGGATTTTGAAAACTTGGATCAGGTCCCCTCATAATCTCCTCTATTCTGAGACTAAAAAGGTTCAGCGTTTTTAGTCTGTCTTTGTAGGACATTCCTTTAAGCCCTTTAATGTATTTGGATAAATAGATTCCTGCAGTGTATCTGATAACTGTTCTCTGGACAGATTCCAGAGGAACAATTCCTTTTTTTTGCAACAGGGCGACCAAAATTGTACACAGCACTCAGAACAAGGTCTCACTAGTGTATTTAACAATATTAACATCCAACCATTTTCTAACCACTTCATCCAGTACATATCACAAGGGAGCCGGAGCCTGTCAAGGGCAGAATACGAGATACACTTTAAATTAAACATGAACGCCAGGCCGTAGCAGGGCTCACAGACAAACATTCACACACACTCTCTCACCAGGGCTATTTTCCCAGAAGCCTACTAACAAGTCCTGACTAATTTAATTTCCTTATTCTAGTCGTATTTTAGTATTGTGTGTAAGCATGACTGGTTTGCTATGCCAGATTCCAGGTCATTAAGCAATCTTAGCAAAAGCCTTCTTAAAATCTCAAATATCATATCATATACTGTATGCTCTTTGTGTCAGTTACTTTTGTTTCTTGCTCAAAGAACACTAACTAGTCAAGCAACACCTACCTTTGATATATCCATGTCTGTTGTCCTCTAGGATTTCATTCCCTAATAATTGTTTCCCTAACCTTACATGTAATAGAAGTCTGACTTATTGGGCTATACTACTATATACTACTTTCAGCTTTGTCCTACCTCTGTCTTGAGAGACTGGTGGATGCTTTAATTTAATGTAGAAAATTCATTTCCGGTAGTATTGGACAACAAAATCTGTATTTGCTATACTAAAAAGAAATGAAATACAACTTCACCACTAATTCACTGTTGTTTTTTTTTCTAACGGATTAAAGACATAATGCTTATTTATAAAAGGCTTTGTAAGATCTATGTCCGTTCATGGACTCAGACACACTGCCTATCTATCTGCACATGTATGTTATTAAACACCTATAACGAGTTCAGTATTTTCCACCTGGAGTGCTTTTCTTGGCCCATGAAACTGGCATAACTCCGAGCCTGACCACCTGATAAAAGACACCCTGTGCAGAATTCTAGGTTTAGATTAGAGAATTAAAATTAGGACTTTAAACATTTATTGATTGAATCCTATAAATCTGGGACATGAAAAATAAATGTGCAGTACTAAAAAAATGAATAGGGTGCAGAGAGAAACAGTGTTGTCCTAGGGATGGTTGATTTGTATTATGGGTCAATAAAATGCAATTTTCTAAATTCTAGTCTCTTCTGAACTAATGCATAGGTAAAAAAAAAATACCAGTAAATTAATTTCCATTTTGAACAGCAATAATAAATTCACTCCCCTTGGAAAAGAAGGGGAGTATTTTTTTAAAGAAATCTGCCAACGCTGCTCAGTGAAATCCTCCTGTTCTAGCATTGTTGACTACCTGTACTTTACTTTTTGTTAGCTAACGAGAGAATGACGAAGGGCATCATTTTAATACTGAAAGAAACGATTTTTCGGTTCTCAGACAATCTCGGCCGAGGCTGTACTTTCTTTTTCCTCAAGACAGACGAGAAAGGTGCTCCCGCCCCTAGCCTACACGTCAGGCGGATCTTTGTTGCTTTGGGAGGCAGTGCAAAAGTAACTGCTAGGAGGGGTACTGATTTTCAGCAAGTAAGTGTGTAAATCCGTTTGGAAAACCTATGACAATGGATGCTCCAGCCTAATCTGTGTTTGTGTCTTTTTGTTCCTGGAATTACTCAAGAGTGAGAACAGTGTGAGGAAGGCGAACGTGCTCCTATCTTTTTTTTTTCCAGCGAGCTCTCTTAAAAAGTCCGTTTTGAAACTTCTGCGATGTTCCTGCTGTGACAAATGATCTGTTACTAAGACTGGCAGCTCGGTTTGTTCTTCGTAAGCATCTGTAAAAAACATAGGCAAATGATTTTGTATTCGTAATGCGATTTTTTTTTAGCATCTCAAAACGAGTTTCCCGAGATCACGTTCAACACTTAAATTGGAAGTTATGAAAACAAATAATCAAATTGATCAAATTTACCATTTTCTTTCTTAAAATGAAGACGAGTATTTAATAGCTTGTCTATACTTGATAGTCCCTTTTCATTTTAATGCGGCTAGTGTAATCTTACAAAGTAATGCGTAAAAACAGAGGTGGCGTTGAACAGATTTAACTGCGAGTAGTTAACGAGAACAGGTGTTTGCTGGATTCCTAGTATCTTTCGTACTATGCTGCAAAAATGCTGGCAAGAAAGAGCATCATCCCTGAAGAGTTTGTGCTGCCGGCGATCACCAGCGGGATACCCCGCAAGCCCCGCTTCCGAGACCGGCCTCGGAAAGCTCGGTTCATCGCCAAGAACGGCGCCTGCAATCTGGCGCACAAGAACATCCGCGAGCAGGGCAGGTTCCTCCAGGACGTGTTCACGACCTTGGTGGATCTGAAGTGGCGCTTCACGCTGGTCATCTTCACCATGACGTTCCTGTGCAGCTGGCTGCTCTTTGCGATGGTGTGGTGGCTGGTCGCCTTCGGACATGGGGACCTCGATCCAAACCGCCGGAGTGCGATCGAGCAGTGCGTCACCAATGTCAAGTGGGTCCTCTTCTCTTAATCCTAAAAACTGGCGATGCTTGCTAGCTAGGCTCAGCAAACCAAGTCCTAACTAAAAGAATAAACTTTACTAAACCAAACTTAACAGTAGCTCTGTAGCGCGGATTTGGGAATTTAACCTTATAAATTCGATTATTTAGTCGGCTCTATGTCACTTTTGTATTTTGTATTTCAAAATGACGTATGTGATAAACGTTGACCATTGGACATGATTATTCATATTGTAAAAAACAAACCTATCTATGTATAAAACATTTATTATAAGCAGACAATTCTGTAGCTGAAAAAGCAACAGTTCGCAATAGCTGCTGTACATGGTCTAATTTCAAGCACTAGTTTGGAAAGCGCGGAGAAAACAATTCACAAACCTAGAACACATCAATGAACGAGTACTGTATACTGTATATAAACATGTTCACCAGGGTAGAAAAATGTGTGATAATTGTGAATGCACACCACATGTTATTTAATATTACAGAATGACACCCATAGTTCTGTTGAGTCCTGTCCTGTGCTTAAATTTTACTTAAACTTTTTATTACTGAAACATACAGTACGTGATAATCAGCTAATTCTGAAACGAACAAAAGTGTAGTAGTTGAATGCTGAAGTTGTGATTGGTGTAAGATTCATTTAACTAAATGTTGTTGAATCAGAAACAATAAAACAGAAACATTTGCTCTAAAATGGTTTACTATGATTTCCACTCTTATACCTGAATTAATATTTTTGAATGTCATTGAATACATGTTTAAATTTATATTCCCTGGCAAAAGCCTGCATTTGTACAATTGCATTTTAACTCTCTTTTCCATTTTTTACATGCTGAAAGTTAAGACACGCTGTGCTTTTGGCTGTTATGTGACAATGGGAGAAACAGTGCCTGTACGTCCCCATTATCTTTTAGTAAAATTCTGCTATTCCTAAAATCTTCTAAAAAGAAAGAAAATTGCCTAGAAACACCTTAACCCTTTTTTTTTTGGGGGGGGGGGGGTATTTGTTAAGAAAACA